ACTTCGTTCTGGTTTAACACTTTGTCACAATGTTGTTTCCCCTAAATAAAAAAATATATTTTATTTAATTTGTACAAAATAACCTGCACCGCTAAAATAGCATATTTAAAATTAAACTAATATTACTACAAATGCTACAACAACAATTGTACTTTTGACTGTTCTTCGGGTTCCTCAACAACTAACCAATGTTAAAATTCAATAAAGATATATCTGGAGAGGGAGAATGTTGTCTTGTTGATGACCACCATTTTTTCTCACCAATTCTTCTTGAAACCAAGTAGAGTTTCGGTCATAATAATTTGCTTTGCTTGATGTCACATGCCCACGCGTGAATGTTTCTACTGTTTTCCTGATGGGCGCGCTACATGTGCGTTACGCGCGTTCGTTCTCAGCGGGGATGAACGTGTCAAGGTCCAGGGGTCAGACGCGTTTCTCGCCGTTGATGAGTCGATGGGGAATCCAGGTCTCGCGGCGACGGCGAATCCCTCCGCGCCGAAGTCTATCACGCGCGCAACCAGACGCGCCAGACATCCCACATCCGCGTGCCGGTTGAGGAAGGTAAATTAACCACTACCGGACGTAACTTCGCGGATTTGCGTTTGGGGCAGTCGGACGGCGTCAACATCTACGATCGATATCGATTTGCTAGCGCGCTTTTAATTAGATCAATATGTGGTGAAAAATAACGATTAATCGGGTTTATTTTCGGGTATATTTAGAACGACGCAATTGGAATGTTTTTGAGTTATATTCTTATTTATTTACTGATAAAATAATTAGTTATGAATTAATTACTAATTAATTATAATATAATAAGTTATAGTTAAATCCTTTTGCATTATTATTAAGTTTTAATATAAAATTAAAGCGTTTTTTTTTGTTTTTACTGATTTTTATTTCAAACTTCCATAATTGATTTAACGTAGGCAACCAAACACTCATTTTGTAGTAATACTTTATGTTACTTAAGTAATCTACCCCGTTTCCGCTCCTTGTCCTTGATATAATATTATATGTCATTAATTCTATTAAAAATCGATTTTAGCAATGACATTGAAAGCATACAATACAAAATACTTTCCCAATGCACGTGTGCTCATTCGTCCACACACATTATCACCCCATTAACTTTCAATTCGATCGGGGAACGTGGCTCTATGCAGTTACCCTGGGTGCCGACCGGTGCCAGTCGCAGATAGACGTATCGATTGTGTGAACATCCGCATGATAATGACCCAAATGGCTTCATGACCAAAACACCTCACAGCCCTTTGTGTCCTACTAAACTGATTTAGAATATTCGCGTGCGGAATTATTAAAGTAAACCCACTTCATAGAAATGTCTTATTAGTAGTTGAAGATGTCTCGAAGCGGGAGCACGTGTAGTGCGCTCACGCTTAAGAAGTGGCTGCCGGTGGAAAACGATGAAATCGTGAAGTGTTTCGCGGATTGTTCGAAAGTGCGTCATGCGTCGGCCATTTTCGCGGAGACTTTGGCGGCGTTCTTGAATGAAAATGCGTTCGTGAATAGTTATTTAAGAAGGAATACTTTGGATTGTGAACAATTAATTACAGTAAGAAATTTTTAATTTAAAAACTGTTTATGAAATTTAAATTTTTAGAAACTAGAAGAAGTTTTAAATGAATTGGAAAATTTAAGATTTAGATATGAAAAGTGCTACGAGACTTTAAACAAGAATAAAATTCTTAGTTCACTTTTAGATGTAAAGATAAAAATGTGGAAGGATACTTTAACTTTTGAGAAACAAAAAGTCACTTACTACATTCAGGACTTAATCGGGAAAATCGCTCATCTTTATATTTATTACGGTGCTTCCATATTAACACAAACATTTAAGTAAGTTGCCATAAGAATAATAAAATTGTGTAAATTTTTAAATTTTTATTTTTAATTTAATTTTTATTTGAAGAATTTCAAATGTTTTCAACGCGTTATTAAATTTTGACACAAAGTACGATCTTACCGATCCGGTACTGATAACCAGCAACACCTGCACTTACCTGCAACATCCGCAGCGAAAAATATCGATTACAAGATTGCTGCAACTGTTGGCCTTGAATCGAGCAGAATTGTGTGCGCATAAATTGATCGATTGTCTGCTTGAAACGTACAAATCATACGAAGCCCACAACGATGCGAATGGGGACGAATCGGATAATTCCAGTGTAGAAATTTACAAGTTTGTTAAAATTATTGATAATTATGATGTAATTTTTACATATTTCAATATTACTAGGGCATTAACTCATCATATGAACGATGAAGAACTGCAAGAGTTAAAGAAAAACGATAAAAACTACGAATTGAACGTAGAAGAAGAAATTGCGAGGGAAATTTTGAGTGGATATCAAAATGACAACTTTACACATTTAGAGAAACTAATTGAATATGAAGAGCAGAATGTATTGGATCTTCTACAAGTCGCAATTGAAGCAGCCCCTAATATGTTGGGGCATGACGGAATTAAAAAACCCAAAAATGGAGGTACTAAAAGCAGACAACCAAAAATACACATAAAATATAACAGGGAATATTTTACAGGTGAAAAACGTATTAATCCTAAAGCACTTCAAAAAGTCCTCGATTACTATCAAGAAATCCTCTGGGGAGAAGTAGGAAACTACCTAGAACATATAATACTATGGTGGGGACCGTCCCCATTAGCATCCCGCGTCCCTCATTCGTCCCAACATCTCCGGGAGTGGATCACACAGTTTACACCAACCGCACAAATCCCACCCTTTATAATATCAACATTAACCAGCCTAGCAGACGGGTTAGGTGTGCACGTCACTTCCACATCCTGGGACCGCCATTTTCGACTAGCTTTAGTCCATTCAAAAGTCCGGAATGATCCATTGACGGGACAATTATTCAGTGAAATGCTGCAAGACTTGGTAAATCTGTGTAATCAATGCGAGGTTACGAATGAGTGGGTTGTGGGAGCCCCTCTTGATGAATTGCCATTAGTTGAACAGATCCCAGTTTTACATCGATTGGGTATATTATAAAACAATTTTTTTATTAAAAATATTGATTATATGTTGATTGTAGATCATTCTGTGCATACAACACGCCTCTGGGCTGCATCTGAAACGAAAAAACTAGCAAACGCATGGAATGTATCATCGTTTTTCAAGATAACGCACTGTGATATCATAAATTGCTTGAGTCAGTTGTCCAATGTGCGATTGGTCGACCATACAATCGCTATTGAGAAGGGTGGATTGGGCGTACACGTCGAGGTGTGCTCCAAAATGAGACATAAACTTGTATCGGAAGTGCAAACCAATATTCAAAAACTCAAAGAAACAGCTGCGGAATGCGTTGAATGTTTGGCTGCAGTATGCACAACTACAAGTCTGGCACATTTACAAATGATATTTCCTAAACCAGGTTATTACTCGCGTGGAGGCGGGGACATTCCAAGCGGTCACACCACTTACGTCTACAAATATTTAGAACAAATTCTCACACCGGTTCTACGCGCAACTGAAGACGTGGTTATCTGTAATATGATTCTTCGCTTGATGTGTGAAGCCTGGTTGGATCACATCTACAAACACAAAGTACACTTTTCCCACAATGGCGCATTACAGCTACTCAATGATTTCGCAGGTGTAGGAGAATGGCTTACGCAGAACAAAGACATCAACGATCATATTCGCCTACAAATGATGAAAAACGAAGTGTTGAGAAGATGCGAAGGCGTTGGTAGATTACTACTGAGAAATCCCGGTGAAAAAATCAAAATGACTGACAAACAAAAAGGTAACCTAAAAATTTCATACTACACTATTCTAATTTTTTTTACTTCTGTAGATAAAAATGTTTCACCAAAAACAGACACCAAAGAATTAATGCCGGCTGAAATGTACGTACCCAATCAGGAGCAGTGGCTTGAGCTCCGCGCCGGAAAACGTCGCTTTCTTCTCTTGCATCCGCCATGTTGTTCATAACTAACTCAGGATACAAATCGATTTAAATATATATTATACAGAACTTTTATGTAGTCATAAAATATCTTAAAAAAATGTATGTACACAATCAAAGAAAGTCAACATTTACAATTTTACGTCAACTGTCAAAGAATCATTTTCGTTCGTTCGTACGTACTGAAAGAAAAGTGTTTGTATTTTATATTTTGTATAACAAGCATCTTTGGTATATAACTCGAGCGACCGCGGGAAAATTGCGTATGACTTTGATGATGATATGAATGATATAGAAATGAAAATGAACACAAAGCTGCCTGCCGATAATAACAAACGCAAAACGTAAATAATACTAATTGCAATTAAATTAATCGATAATTAATCATATATCACATGTATTACGTTCAAGTAACTCTAGTCGCGCAGTGTGCTGCTACGTCTTGTTCTCGAATTTCTGTTGTAACGACGCGACGTTCGAATTCTTAATGGGAAAGACTTTACCTTTCGCTGCGGAAGCGGAGCTTACCGCACCGTTGGCGACGTTCGTCGCGCCTCCATTCGTGGTAGCTACCAAAGGCGTGTTTTTAGCGTTGGCTTTCTTTGTTTGTAAAGGCTTCTTAGCGGCGTTGCTGTTGTTGAGCACATCGGGTGGTGCCTTTTGAGTGGCGCTCTTTGGAGGCGTTGAACAACTGACCAAATCGGGGCTGTTCGACGTGGTTTTTAAACCCTTTGGACCGGAAATCACCGGTTTCGTTGAAGTCGCTGGTTTTGTCACGGCCACATTTGGCTTAACACTTGTTTGTGGTTTGGATGCAACTGTTGAGGGTGTAGATGTCGCTGTGGGCGTGTTTTTGGGTCGTGTGGGTGACGCCTTGCGAGTTTTTAGATTCGTAGGCGTAATCTGTCGGGTGACTTGAGTAGGTGTTGTCTTAACAATGGGAGTAGGAGTAGCTTGTGCAGTCGATGTTTTGGGTGCATCTCTAACCGGAGTTATAGTAGTTGTTGAGGGTTTCTTGAATGTCGACAAAGGTTTAGCTTCTACAGTCGCCGTTGGAGCTTTTGGTGTGACTATTGGGTTTTCATATTTGGGTCTATTTACTGCTGACGGGTGGATGTATCCACTTGAAGTGCTACTTGCAGAATTCTCATATCCACGATTCATATTGCTGTACTCACCCTCAGCTGTACCCACGCTTTCAGTTTCATCGCTAACGCTTTGTGTGTTCTCATACACTGGACCACTCTCTTTGTTAGCTTCGGCGAGTGCCCTCTCCTTTTCCTTCTTTTTGCGAGCCAAAGTAGACGTAGAATAAATAGAATCAAAGTTTCTATTTTGTATTTCATTGACAATTTCGCCCAGCAAACCAAAACTTTCATTGCTCGTCGAATGGCTTGTGTTTTTTGATGGTGGCGACTGAGGAGATTTCAAAGAAGCCGGAGATGTGGGAGAATCCTCAATGACAGCGTAAATATTATCGTTTGATGGCGACGTGCTTTCGCTACGTGCAAGCGGAGCAGTCAAACAATCATCGTACTGATTCTGGTACTGTGATTGAATTTTATTTTTAGCTGGTGGGCTTTGTGGCCTGTCTTGCTTGGTTGCAATAGGTACACTTGGGGCCGGTGGTGGCGGACTCTTGGGTCTAGATCCAACCATACTTACAGGTCGTTTCGAAGGATCACGCATCGATCCAAAACTTTGTAATTTTGGTTTAGTCAATGGTTCAGTGGCTTTCATGCTCTGAGCTCTTGTAACAGGCTTTTCGGGGGTGTGACGTTCATTTTGGGGAATCGGTCCGGAAATATCAACACTGCGCAGATCTTTTTCAATGAATGATTTGGGTGTCTTCGGAGGTTTCTTCTCAGGTTTCAAAAACGACGCGATTCTGTTCAAAGTTGTAGTTTTCTTCTCTTTGGCTGGTGGCGGTGAATGTTGTTGTGTAGGAGACGGCGCAAAAGTAACATGTGGCGTAGGGTGATGTTCAACTTTCGGCGATACCTGCGGTGGGGGAGCCGGAGCTTGCCTGTGAGGAACCGCAGCATCAATGGTAGCCACCGAAGGTGGCACCTTCGGTGCATTTCGCAAAGGACTAATCAGTTCCTTGGCAGTACAAGTTGAATTTTGCAGCGTTGGAGAAGATATAATAGGTCTAGGATGAGCACCCGGATTAAGTGGTGGTAAGGCAGGCGGCTCCGAAGTAGTTGCAGACACATTCGCTGCTGCCATGTTTCCAACTGGAGGCGGCGGAGTTTTTACAGTGTGAACTTTTTTAACATTAGGCTTAACCGGTGCTACTTTGGGAACTTGTGGTGCCGGACGCACGACCCCCAAAGGCTTATCCTCCGTCTTCGCTGGGACTTTCTTAATGGGTGTGAGTGTGTAGCCTTTGAACTGACCGAAAAACTCGTCCTGTGGATTTTCGGACGAAAGCAGCGAGTGATTATCCTCGGCCGACTTCTTCGGACTTTCGGGCGAAAACGGCGGGCTGCGCGTCTTCGGCGGCGACTTTTGCCTATTGAAAAAAGAAGCAAAAAAGCTAGTTTTATAAAGCGTCGACTTGATTAATCGGTTAATAATATTAAGCACGTCAGGCAAAACAAAACCAACATAAAACTCGGTTAGGAATTATTTGTTAAACAACACAAAAACCAAGCGAAAAGCAATCGAAAAGCAACAAAAATTGTGCAACGAAAACAAAACTAGCTGGGTATATCACACACGCACGTACACACATAGGTATAAATAGAACTTGGAGAAGGTGGTTTTCATTTTCGTGCTTATTATTATCATCATTCGTTTATCAGTATTAGTGAAAATAATTAATTAAACGGAAGAACATGTTAGATTCTCGTTAACATTATCACATTATTTGATTTCCTGTCATTTCACGTGCAACTATATAAATCTAGCCTAATTCGCAACACATTTCTCCTTCATTCTCTTTAAAAATTATCGCCTAGAACTTGAGAATATCCTCGTAGTATTCGATTAACAACAAGAAGGTCATCAATAAGTGGCACTTTTGCGAATATCTTGTATACGTATTTTTTGTCTGCTACTTGCTAAAACTGACCGAAGGCAAATCGCTTGTACTATCGTCATTGTTAAATTTGGCTATTTTCAATCGCACATTGCCGGTGGTGGCGACAGGCGGCGGCGGCGGTGGAGGCGCTTGCCTGTGCGCCGTCATCGGCACGGCGATATTTTGATTCGTGGTCGAGATCAGGCCCTGCGGTCGTATCTCAAGCTCGCGCAGGTTACGCCCCCGCGACGCCGGCGGAGCAGAGTTATGGTTAGGGTCGCGTTTAGGACGTGGCGCGACGTGGTTCGCCTGCTGCACATGCTGCGAGACGGTCGGTACGCTAGCGCGCACCGTCGTCTTACCCACACCGCGTGCGAGCGCACACTTTAACAGAACATGTTTTACGTACGTTGCGGGCGATTTCTTCCAGGTGAGCGTCCCGCCCACATTGTGCTTCATGTAGTAGACGACGAAACTGAAGAGCGCTATCGTCGGCACGACGCCAAGGAAGAAGATAAACATCGCCGTCACAAAACCGCGGTGACCTAACAAAAACAAATTTTTAATAAAACTATAAAAATCTATAATAAAACTAACTTACTATTAGGATCTTCAGCTGGTCCACTATCAGACGATCCTCCCGGACCGGGATAATCACAATCAGGCGGAGCAAAACCATTTTTACAATGACAATGTCCCATACTGTTGCACACACCGTTGCCATTGCAATCATTCGGACAGCCTCCAATCGAAGTCCGCAGAGAATCCACCGCCATACACTTTTGATTGACGCACATCTTTCCCTCCCCGCATATGGCGCCGTCAGGTGCCAGACCGGGATCAACTTGATTCAATCCGAGATCCACAATCGCCGTTCGACACGGGATAATGGAACCTTTGAGGTTGATGAAACTGTGCGACAATATGGCGACCGACTCCATGCCGAATTCGAGCCGCTCATTCAAATGTTTGCAGTGCAGCATTCCGCACAAAACGTTCTCGTCGTTACATCGTGAGTATGATTGATTGAGTTTATTGTAGCCGCAATTTCCATGGCGGGTGCCCTTTGTGTTCATTTTGTAGCACTGCTCGTCCGAGGACTTGCCCGTGTTGCCCCAGAGCAGTTTGCATTGATCGGAGCGCGTGCGACAGAAGCCGTGATAGCAATACGCTTTGCCGCCGTCGCAGGATTCGGTGTCCATTTTGTAAATGTCATCGGGGCAGTATTCGCTCTGCCCGGTGCAATACTCAGGCAGGTCACATTCATAATCAGCCGATCTGCACATTGTCCCAGCATTCTTCGGCATGCAAGTCTGCATAAAATAATCAACAAATAATTTCACACATATTTTTTTCAATTGCATGTGTTATACTTACAGAAAGATCACAGCACTCGCCAGTGGCGCAGCTGGCATTCGCGTACAACATGCAAGCGGTGGCGTTGCAGCAGGTGTTATCACAGTGTTCCGGCAGACCGCAGTCACACTGCTCTCCCGGTTCGACGAAACCATTTCCGCACACAGGTGAATCGAAAAGCCTCGCCGGCTTGTTTCGGAGGCAGTAATCCATGCCGTGTTCAAATGCCAGCGCTAAATAATCCAAACTACAAGTAGACCAATGCGTCGGCGGCACTGTTGAGCTGCTAGGCGCCATGATGCAGCGCTCATCCGCACAAGAACACTCATTGGTATCATGCTCCATACCGAAATTATGCCCCATCTCGTGCGCCACCGTAGTGGCAACCAAGCCGAGAACATTCGAATGTTCCGTATTCACACCCCCAGAGTATTCATAGGTGCAAATTGGGCCCTTGAGTGCTTTACCGACGACACCGTTTTCGAACGTAAATTTGGTGAGTAATTGAGCATTATCGTTGGGGTGTTCCTTGATGAGTTTCTCGCGTCGATAATGGAGAAAGTTCGTCAGGGTAATGTCGCCGTTGGAGGAGAAGACGATCTCGTCGAAATCCGTCCAGACAACAACACCCACAAGCGCTATGTAAATATTGAGCGGCGAATATAACTGCAAGCAGAAAATTTATACATATCTTAATGATAAAGACCTACGCGAATGCATAACGATCACATACAGCATTGATAGTGTTGGCAATATCCTTGCAATGTTGTTCGACGACCTTCACGTTCTCATCCAGCTCCTTGAACTGTCTGTTGTCGACGACCAGCACCAGCTCCACGTAGCGCGATTGTTTATTGGCGTTGTATGGTCCCCGTACCAGCGTTTCCGACGTGCTTCTCTTATACTAATCCAAAACAAACATGAAATTTAATTAAATTAAATTTCGGAGGAGAACAAAACCCACATACCCGTAACATCCTATTGAAATGTTCATTATCCAGCACGGAGTGATCATGTTCATGCTCATGATTACCACCTGAATAACCACAGGTACGGTTGTGCAGCGGTGCATAATCTGCATGCTTGTACGCGCGCTGTTCCCCATCATGATGCTCAACATAATGCATTTCTGCGCCGTCGAAGACCACCCCTCGCAGTGTGTCATTGCAGGTTGACAACGCCGCCCAGGAGTTGGGCCGATTACGCACATTGCCGTGATAATGACACATCTCAACGTCCGCCCGATTCGGGCGGTTTATCACGTGTCCGCCATTCGCCTGCGTGCGCAGGAAGTAGCCCTTCGGCAGCAGCGCCTCGTTGAGCCGCAGGTCGAGAATGTAGTTCTCGTCGTCGAGGTCGTAGTCCACCGTTATGTGGTGCACATGCTCACCAGTCTGGAAGCACACAACACACATGCACACATATAATACTCAATAGGATTCATCATCAGCATCTCACACCCACGCACACCAGGCGATAAAACGCATTGTGTGTATTTGGGTGGTGCATCCCAGAACGGAAGAGATGCGTGTTGGACCGGAACAAGTACGACGACGCTGGGATCTAATCGCTATACAACGCGCCCATTGACGCGGCTAGTATGTGTACAAACACACGCGACATGCATCCGAGTGCGATTGCACACACAACGTTTATAAATAAATAGAACGCGACCATTGAACTCCCACTGCTTCGTCTAGTTTGATTACGATGTGATTTATCACGCGCCTTACCTCTTCGCGTGTAGTCGCAATCTGTCTTTTCTCTCTCCCGTGATAAATTCTAGGCTTGAGTTGGGCGTGTTTGCTAAACTCGGTGGCAGGTTGTGTTTCGGCTAGAAAAAAACAATAAACAACAATTAAAAACAATTTATTCTCCCTTAAATTAACTTTCTAATGACACCACAGTCAATATTCTGCGTTTTTTAAATCATAATCTGTAACGTTGCAAATGCAAAGTCAATGACAATGTTTTCACTTTCTTTCTTTGTTTTGTTTGTTTCCTTAGTCATTGCACAAAGAGAAAATTACCACTAATGCGTGTAAGAACAATGAGCGCAATTATTGCACTCCCACGCGACACGCTCGTGCAGAGTGCAAGCAAAGAAGCGAACAAAAAAATCTCCTCATGTAAACGAGATCATTCTCGGTTCCATTTTGTTCTTCGTATCCTCGGTGCTTGATTCTCCGTACTCCGTATAAGCAAGCGCACACTCCGAGTATCATTAACTCCATTGACGCCCTCTGGATGATGCACTGCTCTTATTGCTTTACGTATTTTACACCCGAGTTGGCCGCACGACATCAACGAGATTGCATGTGGGTGTCATTATCGTACGATTCGAAGCTTTTCAAAATGCGTCTCCACTTTTGACAACGCTAAAAATACATTCTCGAGTATGGCGCACTTATTGGCAATTATTTAATAATAGATTAACGAGCACACAACAAAAAATGTGTCAACTTGATAGAAAATATTCATTTAGCGCGGCGTGGTGCGATTGGCGAGGCTCCAAATTCAATTCGCCTGGATTTGCGTTTTTCTGGCGGGTCGAGATGCGAAAGTGCATCCACCAGTGCATCGACGACGCAATGCTGCGGCGCGAAAAATCCGCAAAGGGTAAATTTAGACTTGCGTCGACCTCGCACACACAACTCGTCGACCAAAGTGCTGCCAGCAGCTAGCAATGTGAGTTAAGAAACTTCCTGCGCTACGCATTTTCAATTTTCTACCCAATGCACACAAGCTATTACATGCTTATTTCTCAATAATCTATTGTTACATTCGGGAATCTTAATCTAATCTCGACCTGATTCCAGAGTCAACATTTACATAGCACTGCGCTCGTTTCTCAAAGTGTGGCGCATAGTTTTATTGCGCCTTTCGACATTATCCGACGTGTAAGTAACATATGTCTTCAAGTACGTACACGTTTCGGCCATTTTCTACTTTATGCTCGACCGAAGAGTCGTTCTCGTTTAGTCGAGAGATACGCACGGCTCGCAAGTTCGGATAAGTCGACGCTGAGCTCTGTCGTTTTGCCGCATAGCGTCGCAAAATCCCCAACAAAACTGCCAGCGAGCGAGCAAGGACTCGCTCAAGCCGACTATCTATATTCCATATCTATAGCCGTGCAAAGCACGCTCGGAAAAATTCAATGTCGGCTTTGAATAAATTTCCTCAGAGCGTATCATCCACACCGCATTCAACTAACGACATCTTGCGGTCAACAGCGCACAAAATAGCCTTTTATTTTAAATAATTTCAAGTAGTAAAATCTCCAACACAACGCATGTTTCATTCATTTCAGTCAAGTGTAAAACGTGTATAAATATCCCGAGAGTAGACTCATCATAGAAACGCACTCGTTGTTCATTTCCGGTTTGTTCTGTTAATGTAACATGTAACTGCTCGAAACTTCTGGTTCACAGTGGCACAGTGAAGTGGAAACGTGTTCAACATCATAGTGCGCACACACACATGTTTAACTAAAATCATTTCAAGCATTGCTGAAATTAAATTAATTTCGAAATATAAGTCTGCGCATCCGGCGGATTTCTACACCAAGTTACGGAAGTCTTACAAGTGTACATATTTCATCGAAACTTATATCCGATGACAACACCTGGCGTAGTTCTTGATTCATCCAACATTCAGTAATGTGATGTGAATCATCAAATTATCGTGTGTAACACTTGAGAATCCATAAATAATTTATGTGTGTGCGGATGGAAATGATCGCAATGTCTTGTTGATTACAACTCAATGTCGACCGATAATAAAATCGAAATAATTGTGATTATTTATGTCTCATTGTTTGGCAGCCAATTATCCTTGAGTGGATTTTCTTCGTTGTACCCGTCAATTTAATTTTGTGACTCACAAAATTTACGAAAATGTAAATATTTGATTTTGATGCATGTTTTTGTCTAGACAAAAAATACCCAATGCGCATGCGTCAGCGTCTTAAACCAGAAACTATTTTTATAACTTTTATTTATTCCACAGTTGATGGAAAAAATAAAATAAAACATAAATCTATATTTATTATCAACGTCTGGAAATAAGTTTAAAAAAACTTTCTATATCAGTAATTTTAATTTACTGCTACAGATATTTGCAGTCTGCGGTTATTTAAACCCACAAAAACCGAAATATTTAAACTTTTACTTTTAGCATTACGCAACCAAGAAACAAAAGCGCCAAATTTGTGTTAGCTACACACACAAATCTCAACGCATTGGCCTTGAAAATCGTGCCAATTTTTTTCGGGTCACCGTTCCCAAAGACACAATGTAATAAATAACGTGATAAATATTTATTTTATTACGAGCGTGAAATTAAATTATTTCACCATTTGTTCCTTCTGCGCGAGACAGGTACGCTTCGCGCGCGCAAATCGATTACTAATCGAATAATTAATTACGCAAATGAAAGCGTGGCGCACCGGCATTCATTAATAACACTTTTAATGCCTGCGCGTGTTCAAATTCCCGGTATATCGACGTGATGTGGCCATGATACGCGCTGAATTAATTTATTAACAGCACATCATCACAACTGAATGACTGAATATCATCTGTTGACGCATCGTGTTGAATATTGCACGGAAAACGTTAAAGAGGAAATTAATTTCCTCGACGCACGACACAAAAAAATTTGCCACTTTTTCTAATATTAGAACCCTCGGTGAATAATACGCTTAAAACTCACCGAATGGGTTTTTCTCACGAAAATATTTTTTAAATGTAACTCACGGTGCGTTTCGCTATCCTTTTAATTTTTGCCTAGTTCGAGTAGCGCGCTGCGCCAGTGCTATCCGGTTAATTAATTCCGAGCAAAGCCGCCGCCGCCACCGCCGCGCATTGAAACTTTCGCGTGCAAACCACACCCGGCGAGTTAATTAATCGAAAAATATAGCGCGCAATTTTTCATCGTTCGTTTCCTCCCACGCGCTATAAAATATTCGCCGGCTTAAATTATGAAAACAAAAAAGCTTTTAAGTGAATACTGAAAAAGCGCGCAGCAGCGCGCAATATTTTTCAATCTCGATACGGCAATAAAACGAGCGCGCCTATTAAAGCAAAACCAGTAGCTGAAAGCTCGCCTTAACTTAAATTGCTGTTTAAACTTGGACTCGTCTATGGTATACTTGCTTGCAAGTAGTCGCACTGCGTTACTTTAATGGCCGGGGACAAGTCCTTCGGCGACCACTATAAATAAATTGCAAAAAGAACTCAACGCAGAGACTAAAACAAAATAAACTAAAAACAAAAGCAAAGTTTATATTTAGTTACGTAGGTTTATAAAGAAAGTACATAATTGCTTTCAATTGCAAAAGAAGCAAATTGAATTTATAATTTCGCAGAGGGCTTAACCGAAGCACGAGAAGAAACGTGCTTAATGCCGCAGCGGCAAAAGCAAACAGCTGTTTGTCGCCACTCGCCGGCGAAATTAATTTCAAGTGTTGCTTGCTCTCCTCGGTTATGCTGTGGCGTTAAAAGTGTTAACATTGAATTAATATGCCAGTGCATAATGACTGTGGCACTTGTGCATAAATGTGGTAACACACTACACTTCGTGTTCCACTAACAACACTAGTTGCTGCACACTGCACAGTTTAATGGAACTAATCTATAATTTTCCCTTTCAAGAGTACGGACTATTTTAAAACCTTTTGCAACGCAGGGAAAAAAGAGCTCATAATTTAAACCGCAAGCCAAGTACTAGTTTTGCAGGTTTTTCTTGTTTTTCTTGAGGTTTCTCATCGCATTTCCGGGTCAACTATGTTTCCCCCGAACGGAAAATCAATATGTACGAATGCCGTCTGTATGGCGGTGGCGAAACCCCGACTGGTTTGCGTTAGTCAGGCGAAACCGCATGATCTTCCAACGCGATAACAATTTTAATAACACGACGTATGATTTTCATTACGGCGCGCTGTGTGCTATCGCGCTTTGCGTCGTCGTCGTCCCCGACGGCGGCGGCGGTTAGTGGTCGCCAAGTTGCTGTTTTATTACATTATAATAATCCTCGTCGCCGAGTTTCCAAGTCCCTACTCGAATATTTAATATCTAATGGCAGTTAACGACGGCCTAAAATATTAACTTTAAACGCCGCAGATTATTATTATATACACTCGCTGATTGCCAGTGATTGTAAGTGAGCAATTAAAATAGTGCAATTGCGCGCGTATAATTAACAAGGTGTGCTCTTAGGTAACGTGAGATAATACCTGCGTGGGAAAAACGTAGGCATTATTTCCTCTTCGCAGCGGTAACGAAAGTCTTCGTTGTCGATATGAAAAAATATGCATAAATGCACCCACCAGAGGAAGGAATACGAGTATAATAAGCTGTGATTTTTGTTCTTCATTGTTCTCAAATAACAATACAATGAAAATGAAGGTTCACTTTTTGTACGATTTCAAGTTGCAAGTGCAATGAACGTTATTTATTCACAAAGAAAACAAAATTCAATCGTTAAATTGTTCGTTAAAATAAATACCTACATTAGTCGAAACACATTATCGTAAAAATCATTATTCTTTTATAATAAATATTTGATTGATTCGATTAACGGACGTTTGGTTATATAATAATCAATAATTTGGCACTTATTGTGCGGTAGCTTATAAATGAAACACAACAGCAAACAGTAACATTTTTTAGTAGTTAGACACAAGTTTACCTATGCCCACCTTGCTACTTCGTACGAGCAAGAAGCGTACCCCCACCACTTTTTGCGGGTTCGGAGGTGGATTATACATGTGAAAATTTGTTAAAAAGAGTTTTTATCAACTTTCCTTTAAACCCCGCCCTTTGCAACGAAGAA